GATGACTTGAGATATCTCTAGTTCGGTGGTTGTGTTTCCTTCATCCTGGAACTGTAGACGCGTCAAAAAATCAGAATCAGTGCCTATAATGTTTGGGTAGTGAGTGTTCAAGAGACGTACACTAAGATCAAATGACGAAGAAGCTCTTGAAGAGCGGCGAAGTCGTTTTGCTTCATAGGATTGGTCAGCATCTGAATTAGTCCTCTTTCGCCGATTGGGATATGGGTAGCCTCTACAGATTGAAGGGCCAGTGAGCAAACACGAAATAGTGAAGGAAGTAGCCCACGCGCTTGGCCGTGGTGGGTTCAGACTTACGATCGTTCAGAGGAGCTAGTACTAGTACCAGGCAGGTCTGGAATCAAGAAGGACATAACAGATTCTATACAATAGAAACAAAAACAACAGAAGTGTGTTGTCTGAGCCTCAGTGTTCAACACAAAAGACTCTTATGAAATATCAGATTTTCTTTCAAGTTGATGAGAAATGGATGATTCCTACCTAGAAGTTCAAGTAGAACGCGTTAAAGTCACTTGAAACAAAACCTCTGAGTGTTCAGAGGATGTCTAAGGAAGTGGTGAGGAGGAGATGGTGGTAGTTCGTGCGTAAGTAGCCGCGGCTAGATGTGATGCAAGTTTGATTCCCCGCGCCTATCGCCACGACCTGCCCAATTTAGGCAAACAATCCTGCTCGACTTTTCTTTTGTCCTCCTATAGCACGCCAGTGTTTTGTCTTCCGGAGAATCCAAGGAACGCCGTACACTAAAATTAAACCGAATATCTCACATTTATATACTGTATAACTTGTCGTTTTCAAAAGTGTTGAAATCTCAGGTATACCCAGGCGTAAACCCCCGAATGTCACGGGGTGGGACGCGATATGACATTTATAATATGGCGTGGCAGTAGCTAGGTAGCTATTATACATTATCGCAATAGTGTTCACGAAAGGGGAAGTCAATGAATGAAAGGACAACGGGACACAATGGATCGCTCTAAGCGCTTAGAAGACGTGCAGGACAACGATGCACGGAAATTAATTTGGCGGCCGAGAGAGCGAGACACGGTCTCAGAATGGCGCACTAGAAGTGGGGACAATTGGAGAGTCTTGCGGCGTCATTGGTTGTCCATTCCAGCGGTGGCAGCGCATTACGACCGGCGACGATGTTTAGAAGCAGTTGACCCTGGTCCACGTTGAATTAGGTATGTCACCGTCCTATTTGATGCCATGGATGTAGGTAACATTCAAGTTTTGCAAGAACATTGTACAAAAAGACGACCAATGTTCTGCTTGCGGATCTTTCATCGTTCTAGTCGGGGCGCTGCGGGTAGAGGTATCAATTCTGGAGAAATTCTTTTGAACATTCTTCATGTAAATAGGGTCAATCAGTAATGTAAACGAAGAGAAAGATGGATGCTACTTGCAGCTGATTCTTCCATCAAATTCAGGCGTTATCTTTCCATCGACGGCTAAATGGGGACTTGCACCTTTCATTATGCGAACACTAGCCCTGAAAGATGGCAAAAAATGACAATTCTTCAGTTATAGCAATTCCAATGATGAATATCTTTCTAACCTTTTCATGCAGAAGAGCGAATGCATAAACATGACATGTTGCAGTAGGACGTTGGCACTGTGTGGTGTCACAGTTTGCAGTAGTTGTTGTGTCATGCTATTCACAGTGCCAGTGGCACACAGCTCTTGAGGGGGGTTTGCGATTGTCTAGTAGATTGAAAATACAAAGCTCCATAAGCTGCTTGTAAATAGTGATTTTGCTCAGCTTTATCTACTTCCGCCAACCGAGGAAGAAGCAAAGAAAAACTGTTCTTTGTCCGAACTGCAGGCCTAGAGTAGACAGTCAAAGCGTTCAAAATGCCTTGGTTGGAAGTGCTCGCAGTCTCGTATATCCATATCAGGTGGGCGAAACCTTTTATACGGTAAGATATGACTTTAGAGAAAAAGAGAACTAAAAAGACCCAGTATTCGCGTCTTTCACGTCGTTTGTGGTGTCTAGAGGCAGGAAGTATAGAGTCAGCTTCGCGGCGTGCAAACCCAAAGAGATAAGATGTATCACCTACGGAAGATATTCATGCATTGGACACCGAACATCCATTCGTGATGTATGCGAATTCAGGAGAACATACTCCTCGAAGTCTTCGTTGAGAGGGTCGCGTAGACGGAAGCAACAAACAATTTCAAGTTCAAGTTACACACGTAGAGGTTGTTTGTGTTTGTTTGCCATTGTGACAGAACGCGTTCTGAAAGGATCACGCGAATTCCATTACACGTGCTGTCACGTCACGTATAGCCTCTCTTGCTGAAGCCACCATCATCTTTTACGCTACTTTCCTATCCTCCCAGACAGCCACAATGTCTTTAGTAACTATTCGTGTAGGTTCCACAGTAAAATTTGCATGATTGGGTGAATTGACGAATCCGAGTCTATCTAGAATGTGGAATTCTTGAACAACCCAGCGCAATTCCTCGATCCATACCACTTTCGAGTGACTTTCGAATGCATAGCTCAACTACCGGAAGGTACCTGTCAAATTTTCCTCATTTTAAGATGCAAATATCTTATGCCTGGCTCCTCACAGACCTAGAATGGCGCCTCATATACGTATCATCCCCAGGAAACGAAGAACTAGATCAAGAACTTGACGATTGTCTCGTCGGCCCAGTACCAATGGGAGTCAACTCATTCGAATTCGAAGGATCACCACCTGATCCTAAAAAAATCCCACCAGAAGATGTCTTGGGTGTCGCAGCCTTGATCTTAACAGGAAGTTACAAAGATCAAGAGTTTGTCAGAGTGGGGTATTATCAGAACACGGAGTACGATAGTGAAGAGTTGAAAGAAAAGATGGCGAATGAAGGGAATGGTGGAAAAATTGAGTTTGAGAGGTTGGTCAGAGATATCAACTTGAAACCTCGTGTGACGAGGTTTCAAATCAAGTGGTGAGTTTAATTCAATCTCCTCATCTCTCTTCGTCATCTCGTGCATCTCGTTTCCTTCTTTCATCTAATTGGCCCAATCTCACCTCAATTCTCCAGGGATATTTCCCCGCAAAATCACTCGAATTCTATTGGAACAGTTTCAGCAGGGGCGGCAACATCGGCTGCTGTACCTTCCGCGAACGACTTAGATGAAGACGATGACGAGGATGTAGAGCCTCAAGCTAATGGAACAACTTCGACAACTCCATCTTCATAACCCTCGGAAATCCGCATCTCTCCTTCACGAGAACCATTCCTTTACTTTCTGTTCGAGTTATACTCACCACAATATCTGCATAGTGGACCCACAAGAGGGAGGAGTTAGTCCTAACATTTGGCGATATCTAGGAATTCGCCACGCAAATTGGATTTTCTGACCACCAGACTAACACCACCGTCGCCTCTTCTACTCATCAAGTCTCTTTCATTCGCTCCCTCCTAACTGGAAGCAATCCCTCCCACACTTTGCGCGATAACAGGGATCCTATCGCCAGTTTATCGTATATAGCATATCATTACAACCCATCTTGTAGCCTTCCGTCTTTGTCGTTGTTATTCACTCCGAGTTGTCAATCTATCATCTTGAAGTTCATGTTGCTTCTCACCAAACACTTGCTGCTTTACGCAGGAGATTTACCGAAACGTCGCGGCTCCGCACACACCAATTGAAGCGAATATACCCATCAAGGGCCTCTGAATAGCAAGAAAGTAGAAATTGATAGAAAGCAGTTCGACATAAATATAACTGTCACATGGCAAGTTCATCTTCACCACTCCATCCGTCCTTCCAATAATATTGAATCAGCGAGAAACGGAGAAATAAAAGTGTCATTTCTTAATCTTTCCTCTTATCAGAGATGCTCCCAGTCTTCTTGTTGAACTCCTCCGAGAGTCTGTCGTACTCTTTGGCGTTCTGGGCTGCTTGTTTCTTGACAATATCTTTACGAAATAGAAAATTGTCAGTCAGCCGGAAGAGGAAGATGGAACATGGGAAGATTCGGGAAACGTACCAAAATCCTTGACCTTCTCTTCACTCTCCTTGAGTTTCCTCTTCAATTCCTCAATTTGTTTTGTCTGGTCACCTGAGCCGGATTTCTGCACCTGCAAAGAATAATGCGTGTTTGGTGATGACGTCACGCGACTACAATGAAAGATAACTCACCTCCTGCTTGAGTTTTGCGTATTCCTCTTGGCTGTGAATCAAATCAAGCATGATGTAGAAAGTCCTAGTGAGAACCAGGGAGAGGAAGAGACAGAATCCGGTCAGGTATGTATTACGTTGTGAGCTGTGAGATTGTGACGATCAAGTCAGTCTTCGGATGAAGGAAGGTTGATAGGAGGATATAAGATACTGACTAGAACTTTCTCGCAGCAAAGTTGGTTTCCGACCTAACATCTTGCGCTCCTGAGTTTTGACTCCTGGCGAGGTCAGCTTCTGCTGTCACTCTAAACATTCTTTGTAGTGCGTCGATGAACAACACCCCAACGAATCTATTCGAGGAGAAATGAATCAGAAACCGTGAAATCAACCCACGCCGAGAGATGTAGAGGTACTCACATGAATGTAATCTTCAACCCATACGCCACTTTCGCCACCGCTGGACTCTCTGACAAGAATCTGAACAATTTCTTCCTCAAAGAGTGCGGTAAGGGAGCTACTAAGACGAGGAAAGTGAACATTTCCGAGGCTAGGAGCATAAACGTGAGGGTGTAGCTGTTACATTGGCATTAAGTTCTTTGTTACAATGAGTAGAGTGATATTTTGCTTCGGCTTACTAGACAGTCATATTTTCCTAGATATTGAGGGAAAATCTAGACTTGCTGGTGTGAGTTGAATATCGTTAGATGAGAGTACAGAGGAAGAAAAAAAGGTTGGGTGGATTGTTCGTTTTATGAGGCGGCGCAGTGCATGCGTGGTCAGATTCTGTCGTGGTTCCCTTCTACGTCATCTCAGGCGGGAGGTAAATAAATAAATAAATATATATATAACTAATTAACCACTACATGGCGCTATAGTGTAGTGGTTATCACTTGGGATTCTGAAGCGTGGATGAAACGATTCGTAATAATCAGTACAGAATAGCAATTTCCCAAAACCCAGGTTCGAGCCCTGGTAGCGCCTTCTGAGCCTTGGTTTTTTGTTCCTCCTCTAGATCAACTGTTCTTGTTACTCAGGACCTGCTAATGTTCTCTTATTTTCCGACAATTTATGCTATTGGCTAGAGAAATTTTATATGAAGAAAATATGTCTATTGGGGGAAGGCAACATTCCTAGTACTTCCATATCCATACTATGACAACGGAGGAGATTCAGGTTCTCGTAACAAATCACATTTCCATCCACCTCCACTGGTACAGAAAATCAAGCCAAATCTTTGGTCCTGTAAAGTAAAACATAAGCAGAAGAATCCTCTCCTCCTCCATCCAAAGTAGCTAATTTCTCGAATGGAAAGATTGAAACTTTGTTGTCGTCGAACTTGTACCAATCTTGATCATCTGCCTGTAATGCTCCTTGTGGCGAAGAAGACGAGGAGGGTTGGGAAGGATGGAAAACTGAACGCTTGACAAACGCCATATAATGTCCGGCATCTGCTGCTGCTCCTTTATGTGTTATGATAGCTATAGAGAGACAGATATATCAGCGTCCCAGCAGATTGTGAAATTTGACGGGGAAGAGATGAGGACTCACCAACTAACTCATAAAGTCCACTGACGGAACATCCAACATCATCTTTCAAATCTGGATGAATCAGATCTTCCAAAACCTTGAGCTCCTTCTCTCTGTAAACCTTCTCGTCTTCCAATTCTGCTCCCTCCACTTTTTGCCCTTCGGTTTTGCTACTACCGCTACCGCCGGCACTTTCGTCGGCCATCTCAACATCCGCTTCTTGCTTTCCCTTGCCCTTTTCATCGGCAGAAGAGGAAGCGGCGATTTTAGTCCTTTTCCTGATCTTGATCCTCTCATCTCTGGCTTTCTCGATCTCCAAGAATTTCCTAGATAGAGGTCGAATCTTTTCTTTCAACTCGTCCGTTACGAGATCGATGGCGTCGAACGAGGTGGGGAATTTTACTTTACGCTAGAGGTTATTTTATTCATATTTAAGAAACAAAAACAAGGCGAGAGATAACAAGAAAACCCACCATAATCTTAGCCTTCTTCTGGATGTCACTTCTCCAAGCGAACCTGACCATATGAACAGTCAAGTAACTCGGCAACCTGCTCAATCTCGATTTAGAGCTGTAAACTGCTTCTCGCCCAAGTGACGGGGAACGTTTTTCGATCTTGGTATCCAGGGCCTATAGTGGGTGATAAAGTTGAGTGATCAATTCCTCTTCATTGAAAACGCAGTAACAGTGCCTTACATCGAGAATCCCACTCAGCATGTAATTCGTATGAATCGAAATGTTGCATTCCAATTTCAATACTCGTTCGGTACTTATGGATGCTTCCTCGGATGGGTTCTCGTCGCACGACATTCTGGGGAAAGTGAAATTAATCGCAGAATACGAAGAGAAGGAGAAAGAGAGCTTACACCCGACGCATTTCACCGGTCATATATTGTTCAACAAATTTTTTACCAGAGCTTGAACCAGAAGGGCCAGGCAAACCAGGAACTTCTTTCAGGCTGTTCACAAGTTGAATCCAACATTCTTCTGCATCTATGATTGACAAGAAGCAGAGTCAATAGGTGGCTCAACTTCAGCGTACAACCCGATTATCCGTACCTTGTTGAGCATATCCAGCACCCATCAAAGCTTTCAAACCACTTCCTCCGCTTCGACTTTGTTCAGCAAACTGAGGAAAGGCTTGACGCAAGGAGGATAAGAAAGTAGTGGGGGTGACTTCATCAGTCGTTTTGGACATTTGGGTGTACAGATTCTTCAGGGATGATGGGAGACCTGGAGACGATGAACTGATTATATTCAATGACGAAAAGACAAGCATGATTAGATGGTTTCAAGCTCAAGGTAGAGAGATCTTACGATTGCAAGGCAACTTGTAATTCTGGAATGGCGCGTAAAGCTTGCACCGTGGAATTCATGTAGCATGTATTTCCGAGGTTGACTAAGCCAACTGGGTAAGCTAGTGCTTGAGCTAATTCTGTATCATCCATGTCTAAGAACGAAAAGCAAACAGCGGTCAATTAGAGATGTGACAAAGATCGAGAAAAGAAGAGGCGTACCTTCGAGGAAAACAATCGGTTTCTCGGGAGGCTTGGGCAGTTCACCTGCGGCTCCTATGACCATGAATGTTTGACCCTACACACCATACAACAAAAGAGAGAATAATTGGATGTTGGAATCATTAGAATTCTGAACGAGTTTCTGAGAAGTACTCACTTCTTTAGGTCCTACTTTCTTCCAATCTGTATCATCCTAAATGCCGCAAACGAAAATCGTGAGCTCAACTCACAAATGAGAATTGCAGGAGTCAAATGAATTGGCACACCTTCAAGAGACCGCCTTTGACCATCACTTTCATTCTATCAACAGGAACTCCCGTCAGATGGTAGATATCATCTTTGAAAACACTTGGAGGTCTATCGATGTCGAGGGTGAGATCGTGAATTTTTCCTGCATGCTTAATGTGGACTGCTAGAGGAGCCATTTCAGAATGGTATTGAAATGTGTGTAGACGTTGTTGGGTGTTAAAGAATCGAGGTACTAGGTCCAGTTATTGTCCGGGACTCTGTTTCAAGCGTAAGTCTTTGAGGAGATGGAAGTTGGGAAGAAGACAGACAGCGACTCGTAAGCACGCAAAACCCCGTATCTATAAACAAAGAAACACTTACGATAGCTGTGGTGATATTTTTACACACAGAAAAGAACAAGGAGTAGAAAGGTCAACGCGTTCAAGTACGCGTAAGTGACAGAAGGAGCGAAAGTACAGATCTTATCTAATCTCGTAAAGGTTGTGACGGTAAGAGTGACATGTGTGACTTTTATCACGCTCCTGTGGCTCCTCCGGAGTCCGGATGATCCTCCGATGTCACGGTCATCTGAATCCAATATATCCATCCCTCTTTGTCACCTCTGAATTTTGGCAGTAACTTTGAGGTATAGTCACAGTGTTCATTCTATCCACGAAATTTGCTCGCTCGACAGTGAGTACATTTTCCTTCATTCGCCTATAATTTACGCTTACTTCTATAAAGGCCAGTACTTTACCCTACTATACCTTCGTCCTGTTCCTAGGTTACTTGTCGTCTATGGATGATCAATCCAGCGTCATAACGACTGAAATATTCATCGAAGATGAAATCGAACTCGACGACAACGTGGATGAAGAACCTTCTAAGACTGTCAAAGGCCTTCACATCGTCTCAGATTCAATAGATGAATCCAAACACGTCGACGATTCGGTTTTTAATCACATCATCACAGCGAGTGTTAGAAAGCCACTCTGGGACTATAAGGAAGACTTAGATCTGATCAAGGCTTCCCAGGACATTGTTCGCGGTACAATTTCGCCTTTCAAAATCATCATGGTGATTGTGTACTGATAACTTCCGGGATCTCGTAGGATTGCAAGCATTGGCAGAGCTTCAAATAACCCACCGCGGCATTAGTCCAGGAAATCTGTTTATAGACGAGCGTCGGAACGACACATGCGGCATGGAAATCCATGGACTCATTGTGGATTTGGACTATGCATGCTCAGGGGACGTGTTTTTATGACAGAGTCTGAAGCTCCCAAATTTTTTCCTTCCGAGACACATGTTGTTGAATCAGCACCCTCACAGGGTTTTATTTCTCTCTATGCCCAGCTTGATCACAATGGGCATCTGGAAGCCTCTGTGGGACCCTTGCCTGTAAGTAATTTTAACATGCATATCCATTCTTCAACACCAGCCAACACACATTCGTTGATCGCAATAACAGGGTAGCCTTCAGTTCGTGGCGGTTGAATTGCTCAGAAAGTGGCAGGATAACAAAACCTCAGGGAATAGGACACCAACCCATGACCTTGAATCGTTTATATGGGCCTGGTACTATGTTCAATACCGAAGAAATCTTGAACGTCTGAGCGATTCTGAGATAATCGCGTTAGATTCCACACGCCATAATCTCGAGCTGGTGTTCCGAGAGTTATTCGGTGCGCAAAATCTCCGTGGTCTTGTCTTTCAGAGAAACAGCGTTGTGAATAATCCTGTGTACGGATTTACATCTTTGTCACCTCATCTGCAGCGTGTAATCGGAGAGGACATTGATATAATTCTAACAGCAATGTTAGGCAGGCTTGCAGCATCATATCCACATGATAACCCTCTGATGAGGAAGGCGGATAGATTCAAGGAGAAAGAGAAGAGGGCGGCATGGGGGAAACTCATAAATGATTCTAAAGTTGTGACTATAGAGGCTTCACTTCAACGCGAAGTTGAGCCGCTTATACACAAAGGAATTCTCGAGATGCTAGAGATAGCGCTCATGTGAATGTCATCTGTTTATATTTTTTTGTTATCCACATACCGACTTAAACTTGAAGTCACTGTCGAAATTCTTCGATATCATATACCACTTTGAATCACGTAGGTGCAGGCTTCAATGGAAAAAGCCAAAGAGATGGCAGACCATCAGGATTACAGGTGACACACGCACCCATAGGCCCCCCATCGTGCGTGTTTTTCTTTGGTGGTGACATGCTCCTTCTCACACACCTTGACGGATACATAACGTATGGTCGCTTTTATTGACAGCCCAGTGACCCCATCTCTTCCCCGACGTTGGAAAATCCCGACTCAGAAGTATTCAGGTACCTAAACACCGAAATTGTTTAATTCTCCGAATCCATTTGCGGTGCAGGATGCCGGAACATAAAGATGTGTTGGGTGTCGACTTAGTCCCCCAAACCATGGTCGACAACGTAGAGGATCATACAAGTGTAGTCAAAGCTATGAATGACCTTCCGAGCCTTCGCTCGAAGTTTGTCGAAATATTAATATGTATTTGAGAATTGCATGACAATCACTGAATATGAACATACATTGAAGATCTCTCTTGAAAGTATATACTCCTTGGATTGCAGGATATCAGGATGGCTTCATTTATTAAACTCAGAATGGTTCATTTCCTTCGAACCTTCTGTCAGTTTCCAAGTTCAAATTCAGGCGCTAGCGAAAA